CAGAAAGGTCCACGGTGAGCTCACAATAATGGTACGAAACCGGGGAAAATGTCCTCGACTGCATTGTGGAGACAACGGCCCAACTCTTTTCAATTCAGTCAAATCACAGAATTGTTTGGTACGTGAAGAAGATGTCAATAACACATTGCAAAGCACTATAAAGCTTTAAAAAAACATTATAAAGCTAAAATGTTAGAAATAAATGAAACCGTTGAAAAACATTATAAAGCCATAAATAAATAAATAAATAAAAAGGAGAGCGAAAGGTTGCTGGTTCAAAGCAACCATCCCCTCCGTAGGACAAAGATGTGCCAGTCTGCTTCCCTAAGATCAAACCACAAAAGCTACCAAACTCACTGCCATTGAGTTAATTCCGACTCACAGTGGCTCAGTACGACAGGAGACCTGCACCTGGGGTTCCCCACGGGTCTGTCTTCATGGGAGGAGAATGCTGGTGGTCTCAAACTGCTCACCTTGCAGTGACAGGCCAACTCATCCTCTACTACATCACCCAGGATCTTCTAAAGATTATAGCCTTGAAAACCCTCTAGGGCAGTGGTACTCAGTTCTCTAAGACGCAGCTGAGTTGGCATCAGCCGGCTAGCCACAGGCTTGACCACCTTGGGGCTGGGAGGTGGGAAGGGTCGGACTGTCCCTAATGAGCTCCGGACAGCTGGAGGCTTTCTGCCCACTGCGCACTGGCAGATTGTAACAGTGTCTGCTGAAGGCATGGTCCTGATCACAAATAGCAGACAGCCTGTGCATTCGGTGCTGCCAACGTGCCAGCGGCTGGGCTGGGCACTGATGAGGATGGTCACATCCAGTGCTTCTCGTAAGAGTCTGCCAGGGAAGGGAAGCCCATCCACATTTTACAGATGAGAAAACAGAGGCTCAGAGTAGCTAGCTGAGCCATGTGCCTGAGGTCACACAGCAGTAAGGACGGAAGCTTACGACTCAAGTCTATCAGACATCTGGGCTGAGGTGGATTAGAGACCTGGAGACTGGACTGCTTAGCATGACCCCAACAGAGAAGTCCCCCAAAATTATGGCTCAAAATGAGCAGGCTGCCAGATGCAAACAGGAATTGCCTTTATGCCTGGTATTTTGTTTTGTTTTTTAAACAGCTTTAAACCAAGCAAACCAAAGCTAGTTGTCATGGAGTGGATTGTAGCTCATGGTGACCCCTCCCTGTGGGTCAGAGTCGAACTGGGCTCCATTGGTTTGCAAGGTCACCAGGCCTTTCTTCCTGGGTGGACCTTTCCGTAAGTACCTGAGCGCATCAATCATTGGCTGTGCCCAGGGCCTCCTTGAAAGCGCTCCGGGGAGAC